CCCCGTTCTCCTATGCGTATTGATGGATTTCGAAGCCGGCCTCGCACGACGTAGAAAAGGTAATTCATTAATATAGAATAAAGATTTGTATGTTGTAAGACTCTAAAAAGGTTTAAATGTAGTATATTCCTCACAGGATGTCAGAGAGTTTTTGTAGTACATGAAAGTATCCATATTTGTCATGTTGTTTATACGTCTGTAGTCTATGTGTTTTGCAAATTTAATACGTCAATTGTACACCTGTTTTCAACAGGAAAATATAAAATACTTAGAGTTCATTATTTGTCGTTTGGGGGGGGGGGGGCGCTGGTGGATTCTAAATTTCAAACAGCATAATAAAAATGACCCTCCCTTTTAATGTGTTTAAAAATGTAGTCCACCGCTTTAAAACAGTCTGAAAAGTTTTCACCCCCCTCCAACATTAAAGTTAAGAAGAAAATAGTATGGCCGTATGGTAGTTCTTCCCATCCTATTCTTTTGTGTGCTCTTTACAACCAGGGGCCTAGAGAGGACCTTCAACTTGGGGATGTTGGACAGGATTTAGCCAACAAGGGGGGGGGGGCGGGTGCGTGAAATAATAATCCAAATCCACAATATAATTGTGTATATCCTTGTCTAAGTAAGTAGATATGGCCCCAAGAAGAAATGGTTTACTTTAGGTTTTTAATTGTAAAATATATTTACTTTCAATCATCATTCGGTTTTAAAAGAAACTTGAATTATTTTAACCCATCATTTTCCATCACGAAAAATCATGTCTTTTATGCATTATACAGTCTTGGGACTTAAGAAAATTGACACCCCGAAAATGCAGGAATTAAATCGTATTTCAGGGACCCTAGATTTCAAAATATTCTGGGGGAGCATGCCCCAGACCTCCGATCCCCTAAAATGGCTCACACCTTTTACGCTGGCTACGCCACTGTTTTTATACCATCTTCTTTATATCAATGCTATAAAATTTTATTGTCTCCCCAGAACACTTCTTTAGAAGAATTAAACCACCCTTTTACACCCGTAAAATAAATTCCCCCCATTATTTTACCAGCCCACCCCCCCAATAAATAATGAACCCTAAGCATTATATATTTCCCTGTTGAAAACGTATTAACAGGTGTACAATTGACGTATTAAATTTGCAAAACAAATAGACTACAGACGTATAAACAACATGGCAAACATGCACTTTCATGTAATACAAAAACTCTCTGACAGCCTGTGAGCCTACTACATTTAAACCTTTTTAATGCAACATACAAATCTTTATTCTATATTAATGAATTACCATTTCTACGTCGTGCGAGGCTTCGAAATCCATCAATACGCATAGGAGAACGAGGCTGATGTTGTCTGGGGGGGGGGGACATTTGAAAGTTTGCCCGAATTTTTATGGAGAATTGTAATGAAATAACCTGATTTTAACATATTTTCTGATAAATCTGCCCGAATTTTCTTGATTTTTCCTCGCGTTTGCCCGAATTTCCATGGTTTTCTATGGTTTGCCCCCCCCCCGCCCCCTGTCTCGTACGCCTATGTCAATAAGGCATTTTCAACATGAACATAATACGCAGCCAAAGTGAAAGTGTGTAAGTGAAAGAAACTTTAAAAAAAAGCGTCCTATAATTTTCGTATTTTACTCGTATGTACTCGTATTTTACTCGTATGTACTCGTATGTAGTCGTATTTACTCGTATGTTACTGGTGTGTACTCGTATGTTACTCGTGTGTACTTGTATGTTACTCATGTGTTATTCGTATGTACTCGTATGTACTCGTACTGTATGTTACTCGTATGTACTCGTATGTACTTGTGTATTACTCGTATGTTACTCGTATGTGCTCGTGTGGTGTTTTAGTCACTATTCTACAAATTCAATAGATTTACTGCCTTAATAGTACTCTTTATATAAAAAAATACTAATGAGGAAACGACTACAATAAATACTCCCTTATTAGTTTTCTTTATATAAAGATTACTAATTAGGAGTGTTTTATCAGGTTTAAAGCCAGTACACGGTCGACATGATTTGCCAATAAGCTTATGAATTTTTAATGTTTGAAAGACAACACAATTCACCCGAGCGTTCGTTTCAAGCGTATTTTAAAGAAACTATTGAAAAATTTAAGCACAACCAGAAAACCAATTTATATATTGGGTGATATTAACATAAACCTCTTCCGCTCTGATTCATGTAAATATGCCCAAAATTTATTACCTTCTTTACAAAGCTACAATTAATTTTATCCCGACTATTGACAAACCTACTCGCGCGTACATAACAATTCAGCTACTCTTATTGTCAATATCTTCGTCAATAATATAGACAAATGGTATTAGTAGCGGAAACATAGTATCTGATATAGCGATCACTTTTCGCAGTTTTGTATGTCATTCTAAATAATAGGAGTGTGCAGTATAAATTATAGTCAATGTCACAAAATTTAACAAGAGATTATTCAAAGTTCTCGCTAAAGCTAGATCTCTGTATTTTCGGAATTAGATCTCTGTACTGCTGTGTCAAGTTGTAATAATCCAAGTAAATCTTTTACCATGTTTTATAACAAATTGCGTAAAAATTTAATAAACATACACCTTTAAAAAAATATATTCAAAGTATTTGTGATAATAGGCTTTCTTACTTATACGAGTTAATGTTAATATCTTATTTCTGCATATAGTATTTATATTTTTCCGAGCTACCTGAATAAAATAGCAAATTTTTAATGATGATTGATTTTCTTATACCTTTTGTTATCCACAGTTTACAGTATAGTTGAGCCTTGCGTTTTGATACGGGTATTAAATATTGTAGATAATTTTAGACATTATTGACATTACAGATAGTTATTAAGACTTATATAAAGTATTGCAAACAAAAGAGCCCGCGGGCGCTAGGATCGGGGGCTCAGGTAATAAGAAAAAAACAAAACTGTGAGAGATTTTGTAAATCAAATGTGAGAGTTTCAATGAATTTAAGTTTAAAATAAACAGTTTTGTCGAGTAGAAATATACGTTTCCGACAATATTAAGAAAACTTGGGAAGGTGTTAATAATCTTAATTATCAATCATAAAACAAAAATATTTGGTCTATAACTTCCAGGCACATTATTGATATCAACGAGGAGTTCAATCATGGACCATAAACTCACAAACATAGCCATGCATGCATCCACGGTTGTTGATGAACTTTAGATTTCGCTAATGTTTTTCCTTCCCTTTCCTTTCCTTTCCTTTTCGGGCGTAAATATAGCTTAGCGGAATTACACAGTATCCTGGGGAAAAATATGAAATATAAAGAGCTAGCTGTACTCTAATCTTCTATTAAATCGCTGTTTTCTCAACATTGGAACTATTTATTAATGCTGATGTACTATTTACAACGCGAATCTTATCTTTATGATATTTAAAGGTATCAAAGAACATGGAAAAAAACGAATAAAGTTTAGAAGCCGGATAAAGTGATACATTTTCAAAGATTAGAGTTTTGTTTTTACGGATCACCGAAGAAAGAATTCACTGGATCTTGGCCACAAGCAGAACGAAAAAAATTGAGCTCGTTGATAATTCCTTCGTTGAAAATGTGCTGAGAATCTTCCTTATCTTCATCAGCGAAAATTAAAACGTATTGACAAAGCTTTGAGTGGTTGAAATGCCATAGCGTAAGTTGTCATCTACCCATGATCGATAAACGTTGTTTCCTGAGACTGATTCATTAAGTTGTGTTGCCACCCATGGCCACAGCATATCACATGGAAGAATACCAATTGACAGATATTTAGCTTTTCTTCTCACAAGATTCATTGCAAATGCCACATATGTCGCAACAGCTGGACCCATTTTCACGCTCTCTGAATTTTTAAGATTCCATTTCTTGTAAAAGCAACTGCTGTGACTTGTATAGCTTTTAGATCGGCCACGATAGAATAAGGCAAAGTCTCGGGGATATTCATTTTGCGTGTTCTCAGCGGCAATATCGAACGCTGTAACATAATCAAAAAGGAAAGCCGCGTCTTGTATCATGTAACGACCATATTCTTCTGGGGCCAGAGTATTGGCGACCATCTTTTGAAAAAATAGTGTATCTAACACAGCGTTGCGAACTTTAACGCTGAAAGGGTCTTCAAACAAGGACTTGCTGAAAGTTGGTCCTGAATCTATATAAAAAGAGTTGTGTAAAATCATCCCCCTTCATTAAGTCATTTTACAAATGTTTTTCAAAATTTTGGTTTTGTGTGTTTTATATATTTTAAATATTGTACTTTCAGAATTTATAGTTACTTTCATGAAACTTTTTTTTAATGCGATAAATGCTTTTAAAGTGGTCATGATCCATGATTTTCTCCCTAGCAACACCTTAGCAACGCGTTTTTATCCAAAATTGACCGATGAATTATTAAAAAAAAACAAATCTTTTGTAGTTTCTAATTTTGATGTATGTTTTTTAAGGTCATTTTTTTATTTTCGATAAAAATATGGGAAATAATCGAAAAACAAAGAGAAAAATGGCAAAAATGGCACGAAATTCAAGATGGCGGCGAAGTATGTGATCAAAGCCCTGGGATTTCTAAGAAAATAGACGATGCAAGTTTAAAGTTTGGCTAGAATCCTGGGTGTGAATGGAAATACTGCTTTCATACTTCACAAAAACAAGGGGCTTCATATGAAGTTAATGTGAAAGGAGTCCTTGGCCTCCTGCCATTCAGCGAAATTGGTCGAGGCCTTAATACTATGGTAATATTCACCAAAATCATGAACATGCCATTGCGGCATCACAGCAAACCTGTGGGAACTTTACAAAAATGCTAAACAGGAAGCTGCTGCCTGTTGTGAAACAGTTGGCAAATGACAGCATGCTAAACAATGCCATTATTGGTAAGGAGGCTTGTAGAAATGACAAAGGCTAATGTAGAATTTCCCTTGATGAAACTTGGCAAAGACGAGACCATGTGTCGCACACCGGTGTTGTTTCTGCGATCTCGTTAGACACCAAGAAATGCCTGAATGTTGAAATATTCTCAGGTCAATGTATAATAGAGGAAGAAACAAAATATCAATTGAGGAAGGCTAGTTGCCACTGTAAGATCAGCCATGCTGGACGTGCCGATAGTATATGATGAATCACAAATTACATTCTCGCCAATTCGAGAATAAAACTGTCGGCAAAGGAGAGCACTGTAGCAGAGAAAAAGAGAAGAAAAGTACTGAGGCACCTACGAAAGCACTATGTTGACAGTAATGAAGAGAAAGAAGGTGCTAGCTATGAAGCAGATGCCTTCTAGACATTATAAAAAAAGAACGAAACGTTAAATTAAAATACTATGTTATCCATTTGGCACTTTTTTCATTCCATTTAATCTTTCTGACAACATATCTTTCTAAATATTAAGTGTAAGAGGTTGAAACTTGGTATGTTTGTGGCTATTAATATTAAGCAGAGCCTGTCGACCATTTTTAATTTTAAATATATTTCATTAGTAATGTATAAATGAGGTTTAATTACCTAATTAGGTATGAAAAAATTCCTTTTTTCCCTAATTTGAAGATTGCTTACCAAATTTCTGGAAAAAATGCTTTAAAGTGAAAATAAAGATGGCCAGGCACTAGATCATGCTATAAGCTTTCAAAATATATGTCATTTATGTCATTCTGATTAACAGTGTCTTTCTTATAATGTGTCATGCAACGCCTTTTTTTTTGCTAATTACTGGGCGGCCATATTGGATAATTAGTGTAATTAGTGAGTAACCAAAAATGTTTTTCCAGATTTTGATTTTTATCAATGTGCCCTTCAAAAACTGTTTTGGCTGACTTTGTACCTTGTAAAATGAAAAAAACGCTCTAAAGGGAATGACCACCTTAGGGAGCTTATATTTAAAATATAATAGGACTGATTGTTGAACCTGTTATAATTTAGCATCCCTGACGTAGAGCAGCAATCAGGTGGGACATGATTTAGCGCAATTTGCGTTATTGCGGGTCAGCCTCCGAATAACTAACCACTTATAATTTAAGTTGCAGTATCTTGAATCGTCCATTCAAAGGACAGGGAAGAAATTAAAATATTATAAACAATATTGCCTGAAAACAAGATTTGTGCATATTGAACATAGAACATGTCCTTCTTACAAATCGTATGTTTTTTTGTTTTTCGAATTGCTACATTTTTGGCCGGAAAATGGCATCACAAACTTGGCGCTAAAAAATAACAGTTAGCTATTGTTAATTTTATACACTTATTGGGTAGACGACATTGAGAGGTTCGTAAAACTGAAGTCCGTTTCTAAGTACAACTATTTTTCGCGAAGATATAGAGGTACAAATGTCGAAAAAGCGGCCACTTTGTTACTAAAAATAGAAGAAAATGGCTAATTTTCGGAAATTTGAGTCATGATATCTTCGAAAGGAATAGTTGTATTTCTAAAAGTACTTCAGTTTTAAGACTCTCTCAATGTCGTCTACCAAATTAGCCGATAAAATTACCAATAGATAACTGTTAAATTCTTGGCGCCAAGTTTGGACGTCATTTTCCCGTCAAAAAGTAGTAATTCCAAAAACAAAAAACATATGATTTGTAAGAATGATATGTTCTATGTTCATGGGAAATTTTGTAGAAACAGGATGGAAATTAAAGAAGTTGAAGTAGGTTGGCCCTTATGCTTGCATTTTTGTCAGGCGTAATATTCATACACAGATTTTTTTAGGGAAAGGTTAGGAGCGGGGTTTATGCATCCCTCCTCCCCAAAATTATGCTTTCCAGGAGGGGGCTAATCAAAAGTTTGCCCGAATTACCTGAATTTAACCTATTTTGTGATAAATTGGCCCGAATATTCTAGATTTTTCCTAGCATTTGCCCGATTTCCATGGTTTTCACAAACAATTTATTTTTTTTAGGGGGGGGGGGCTGTTGCCACCCACTGTCTTCTTGTATCGTAAGCCTAGGCACCATACCTAGAGACATTTGCAACTCCTTCGCATATATTTACTTTAATATATATATTACATTAAAGTAAATATTTATATTATATAAATATTATATAATCACGTTAATGTGATCGAAATAAGGAATTTGAAAATTTTCTATTTTCTGGTATCCAGACACCTGCTTCAGTTTGCTTGGCAGCACTACGCAACCGCACTGGTTACCTCCTTTGCCCTTGAATTAAGTGTGTGTATGGGGGGGGGGGGTGTGTGGCGAGCACAATCTGGAAATTCGTTTATGATAATAACAATGATACTAATAGAAATAATTATAAAATATTGACAATAATAATAATAATGATATTGACATTAATAATAATAACAATATTTGCCCTCACATGCACTACAACTGCTGTCATTCAATTCATTCAATTCATTCAATTCATTCAATTCATTCAATTCATTCAATTCATATTATGGGGTATTTGAAAATATTTAATTGCCATCAACATTTAAAAAATACTGACCGTCTTGGCTAAAATATCCTCCCATTTAACTTCTTTACCATTCATAACACCTGTCAAAATTAAACAAAATAAGAATACAGTTGATGTTTGCGGACACAAATATGTTTTATTACCTGACTCAGACTTATTTTAGCCCAACCTTGTACCAGGAATTTGCCTTTATTTCATAAATTGGTGCGTTCTATATTATTGCATTTTGTACTGGAATAGGACACGATATACACAAATATTTAAATTTGCTAATTGTCTCCAATTGAAAGCTTTCGAGTATGCTGGGTGCACTGTCTGAGTGCCTCTGAGTTTGAGATGCAGTGAATATGAAAAATGTATGAGTCCCCAAATTATTTAAGTTATTTTACTAGAGATTCAGTGTAAATAATTTAGCCATTAATTGCTGCTAATATCCAAACATTGTAATCTGTTATTTTTCATAAAGAAACTGTTTGAGTAGGTTAATTTTATAGGCTGATAGCACATATTTCAAATGGTAGCAGCACTTTTCTGATTACGTAAATCCAAAAATCAAGCAGGTCTACATTGTAGGTGGGCCAACATCATTCACAATTTTTCTTTCTCCACAATTTCCCCTCCACATGTCCAAGGAATCACGTGTTGATTAGGTTTGAAGAAATACACGCGGTAATAGTTGAGAAATGGATTTGCGCAAATTTTAGATTTTCTTACAAACACAACTCATCTCTATTTGTCAAAACACTGTTCTATATATGTTGCAACTAAAGCCCGCCGCACATAAGCGCACTTGTCGCACGTACTTGTTATTCGCGCCAAGTTGGATCGACAAAATTTCCTCGTGTTCGGGCAAAATTTACGGCATTTTCGCCATTCGTGACATGTAGACCAAATATCAAGCATGTTTGATAAGACACGAGCTCGTGATTTTGATCCGCTATGTTGTTTTTAATTCTGCAAGTTGAACGCATGCGCTAATTTTCCTATTCAGGCGCGCTTGTCGTTTGCTCGCCGCCCACGAGAATTTTTTTGTCACGAATGACGGAAAATATCAAACATGTTTGATATTTGGTTTACATGTCACGAATGACGAAAATGCCGTAAATGTTGCCCGCACACGAGGAAATTTTGTCCATCCAAACTGTCACGAATAACGTCAAGTATACGCGCGACAAGTGTGCTCGTGTGCGGCGGGCTTAAAATCCAGGGGTCTAAAAGGCTCAATTGAATGGTCGGAACTGAATGATAAACAATATTCATAATAAACCGAAATTAGTTCAGCAACACTGGTTTTTATAATACTGTTCATTCCAATACTAAAATATCATCATTGTTATTAATTAAAATGAAATTCAGTTGGCAAGTAGCTATCTAACAGTTCAACATTCCACCCAACCATTATTCTCAAGATTTGTCAATAAAGTTTTTAAAATAATGCACAATAAGCACAATTATACCACATTGTTCATTTTACAGCCTATAGATCTATGTCAGAGGTCTATGTTTTGTGTATAAATTAAATCTGGACCAAGTAATAATCACTATTAGAGAGCAAATGCAATATGACAATATCATGTTTAATTAATACCATCAAATCCAAGATACACACCGCAGCCATCCATGTTACCAGTAGGTTTTGTAATTTGTTGACTTTGAAATGGTCAGAGTTTTACTCCAGTAAAAATATTTATACTTTATTGAATAGCCTATGTAAATCAAATCGCTGACCAGGTATTGAT